GTGGGGGTGGATATTTGCCCTTAACTCTAAATTAGGCTCTTTGTCTCAGGGCCAGACTCAAGCCCCTTTTATTATGTTAAGTCTTGGATCTGCAAGGCCCATAGGAAGAGCCTTTTATCCACAATGTTTTCATCTGAAATCTCTTTGGAAAAGGCAGGGACACGCCTTTCCTTATGAGCAATCTGTGTGGGGAATATCGGTCTGATCTGGAATATTGTGAGACCTGGTCAATACCAGCAGCCTCATTTCCAACATGAGCCAGTAGTAGCAGAAGGAGACACCAGTTTTCATTTCTCATGGCAGGAGCTGTACAAATGCTACCATATCCTTGCTGTGACTGCCATCCAGAGAGGCCGGTTCGGCTCCTGGCATGTATTAGAAGATTATTTTATAGATTGACTAAATAGTGTGAAGTGTAATCCCTGGGTTATGAGATCATAAACTCATATAAAAGCTGTGATATTGAGTAAGTTGAATCCAGCAGTTATGTGCTACCTCACTCCACCAATAGCTGCCTCTCCCTCCACTCTGAAACCTATAAAGGCAGAGAGAAGCAAAAATTTTTACAATACAAGGAACAAGTTAAATAAACAATGTTTTCTTTAATAGATTGACCATTATATCAATAGGCATTTACTCTTCAATTTAAGGGAACTAAATGAAAAAAGATCATTCATCATGAGTCAGTCATTATGTAATGGACCAAACTTTTCTATAGAGAATATTCGAGTCTAAATCTTCACTTATTTAATAAATTCCTAAAACACTTTCAGCATTGTGATGAGGTCTACAGAAAATAAAAAGATATCTGAGATAATGGTCCCAGCCATCAGGGAATTTTAACTTAACTATTTAAAAAAAAATTCTTCTGTCTTACGGATTTTTCCCAAGGAAGTAATTCAACTAAAGCAAAAAGATACATGTTTTAACACTGCGTAGTCATCTGTAATAAAAGAATCTTGCGAGCCATCTAGGAGTCTAACTTCAGGGAATCAAATTATTAAGCATCAACATATAGAATATTATATACTCATTTAATGTTTGAATACTATTAAAACATGTAAAATATTAAGAAGTGAAATAAAAGCAATATAAAATAGAATGGACCCTATCTGTACAGTTCTGCTAACCATATAAAAATGTAAGAATTGGGGGAAGATGTAAGAGCTGGGGTAAAAAGGCAAGAGAAAAGCCGTTAAGCATGTGATGGCTTCATGTTAAAACAAGATCTTACCTTGCAATAGTATTTCTCAAAGTACAACCTTTCTTGAATTATTTTCAACAAATATATTACTGTTATATTTGAATCATAAATATAAAATGTGGAAAACTTTTGAGCATAAAAATCTTGCTTTTTACTGGCAGTTTTGATACCTACTGATTAGCTATATGAGAACTTTCTAAATTAAAAGACTAGTACTTTTGTGAACTCAAAGGGTTCATTAGAGTAAAGAATTATTGGCCCTCTCAGGGTTACTTAATTGTATACATTTAGATGTATTACAAGTATATATTTATTGAACTTTAAGCTGTATCATTACCTATTCTACCTATATTCCAGTCCTGTCTCTAAAATAAATTGACCATTATTTATACATTTAGAATTTCCTAACTTTACCCCTTCCTCATTTTTCTGAGGAAAGTTGTAGACCCTTGACCTTCTGTTCTACAATATGTACTATTTTTTTCAATGTGAGCTGCAGATTTTGCTGTAAAGACATTTCTCAGGTGGGCAGTTCCCACTAATCACCAAATAGCAGAAATTTCTAAGTGCTCAGCAAATAGCAGACTGAATTTATCATTGTACATGGTTGATAAGAAAGGGCACTTATTGTTTATTAGGTAATATTCCAGAGAATTCATGTGAGGGTGATGGTACCCAGCCCTCAAAGGCAGAAAATAGCAGCATTTTTCAACTTCATTATAAGATAAGGTGAAAGAAAAGTTATTGCACAGTGGCTGTGAACAATGAGGGGACCCTGACCTTACTAAATCAACTGCCAATGCAGTCATAGAAAGGCCAAAGAGTAACTAGGTTACTAAAGATGTGTAGAAAGAAAGGGAATTATGATATTGAGACATTCTGGGAGCAAATAGTAAATGCTTTTCAACAGAGAAATAGGCCATTTAAGTCTTTTAGTATACAGAATGTCCTTCCCCGACCTTTCTATACTAAGGACATAAAATTAGCAAATTACATTTTCACTCACCAATTACATGAAATTGTGAAATCTCGAGAGTTATTCCAGAGTTATCTCAGGAGATTGAAGTGGAAGTCATCTAACTTTGTGAATCAAGAATGGGATAGGAGTATGAAGGGAATGTCACTTAAATATGTTCTTTTAATTTTGTTCAGTCTCAACAAACTTCTTTGATAAGTGACTAAAAGGTACGGGAGCCACATTGTTTTAAAACAGGACATTTAGTTTTCTAGCATGTGTGGCTCTATTTATATAAAAGCAATAAGGGTACCCTGGTCATTTTGATATTTAAACTTAGTGAACTTACTACAGCAGTATTTCTTACACTATGTTTTATAGAAACTGGTGAGACAATTTAGGAAAATAATTCAGAAGCTATTCCTAATCCTCTTATTTGTTCATATTGCACATTAAAATAGTGAAGACTTGGAGAAATGCTATAATTAAAAATTCTGTTTAACTTTGTTTGCAATGGATATCTTTATTATTTTGTATTTTATATGAATTTTTGCTTATTTTATAGTACTCATTGATATTAATACCTTTAGGAAACAAAAAATATAGCAATAATTAAAAGTATTTATTGTAGATGCTATGATAGGTTTTCAACCTTTGGACACAACTAACCTTCGTTAGGGTCAAATCATGAATCGTTCTGATACTAATTTGAATGAATCAGCCTACAATCAAAATATCATTGCAATTTATTGTATAAAAGAAGAACATGTAGCTTTTAAAAGTCTCCCAAGTTGGAAAAACAGCAACAGGATTGAGTACTAGTAAAAAGGGTACAGGTCACTGTTAAGGTAACCAGACTCAATATGGACCACTTTGTAGTTACCAGATACGTGCATATAGCTTATGTAAATTCCAAATATATATTAAAAGCAAAAGCCCTCTTTTTCCTCATTATCTCTCTTCACCTTTATCCCCACCTTCAACTAGACCCCAGCTTAGAAAAAGGGAAGTCAGTGTAGCAATCAAAGAAAAACCAAGGAATTGAACCTGAGGCCTTTAGTAGAGACTCTGTTGTGAAAACTAACAAGGGCCCCTTTTGGAGTCTCCATGAGTTGCTCAGTAGGCAACTTGCATGGCCATGCAGAATGTCTCTGACTTTTGTGTACCTAAAGACCCAAGGCCTGGTAATTTAAGGGTAAATTAAAGAATTTTATGGGTAATTTCATTTATTAGATATTTTTATTTTTTACCTTAGGTACAAATATTACAACGTAACTCCCATTCTCATATATTTTTAACAGAACCATACCAGAATCATATAGCATGTATACTCCATTCTGCTTCACAGTGGAGGAATTCTTATTTTATGTGGTTTCATTATAACTGTTCATATACTATCAATTTCTAGTTAAAGCTGAAATAGTTCAAATATGAATGGTAAAAACTATTATGATGAAGTATTCCAAGTATGAGTGTTAAAAACTATGGATCTAGTTAAGTCTCTATGGATTCCATCATTCGTTAATTTTATAAAAAATTAAAAGTGAAGTAAATGAAAGTTGGATTATCCTTCAGTATTCTAATAAAAATAATTCAATGGTTCACCTCTAATGGGAATACTTTTCATTACTTAGAAAATACTGATTTGACTCAAATACCAAACATAAAAAAGGTTACTGCTTTACTATTTAATATAAACTCTAGACCTAATAATTTCTAAATGATATATTTATTACCCTAGAGGGCTAAAAATCACACTTATTACTATACTATAATAGCACTTTTACTGCCAGGTATTTTGTAAAACTATATAAAATATTTTTAACAGTTTTCATGTATTTCTGTAAGGAGAATAATATAGTTTATTGGCTGAGTCAGTTAAATACACAATTCTTAGTTATTTTACTATAATTTCTAAGGTGACTTCCATGTTTATTCTATTTTTACTTTATATAAAACTATTATGTTTATTTATGTACACATATATGTACATATATATACATACACAAATATGTATGTATTTATATCTGAATACATACACATCTACTAGCCTTTCTAAAATAATACCTTTATGTTATTTTTATATTAAAACTATAAAAATATCCCCAACTGGAATGCCAGTTATTAGGCATTAGATATTAGGAACAAAAATACAAATATCTATATCACTCACTTTAAGATGCATCAATGCTAGGTTCCTTTTTCTTGTTAACCCAACCTGGCATTGAGTTTGCTTTGTTTTCTGCCATATTAATATCTGTGCTTTGGGCTATCTTACCATATGCTTGGATGTGTATGTAAATTTTATTCATGTAACTGAGCTCTGTAACAAGAGAAATTAGTTTTTAATAAAAATAAATTATTGTTGAACATTTGAGACAGATAAATGGAGGGGTGATAAGTGAATTCACCGTAAAAAGGAGAAGGGACTATCACAGCAAATGCAAAAAAGACCAATGGGCATGGACTCAGTGGCAGGTTAGAAAGTGTAAGAGTGAACAGCCTGTGGCTAGTTACTGTTCTTTGGGGATGAATACTGGGCTACCCTTATGCTTGAAAATACAAATATATGTAAGAAAAAGAGTAAATAGCACTTGGCAAGATGTGGGTCTGCTCATATCATCTATAAAACCCAATAGTAGCAAAAAGCAGAAAAAGACAAACTGACAATTGAAAGTGACCAGATAAAAGTGGCATTTTGAATATGATGGAAAATTAGAGATTTTTTTAAATGGAGTATGAGAATATTAGACATAAAAATATTGTGAAAGGAAAAAAGTTTTTTTATTTATTATTTATTTTTTTGCGTTATCTGACTTTTAAATGTATTTTTTTTTTAAGAATGCCAGAATCTCCTGGTGAAGTTCCTGAATATCCTTTGTTTGTCACAGTTGGTGACTGGCTGGATTCTATAAAGATGGGACAATATAAGAATAACTTCATGGCAGCAGGGTTTACGACTTTTGACCTGATTTCAAGAATGAGCATTGAGTAAGTAGTCCTAGGTTTATTATTGTATTCAGACACTTCACTCAGGTGATTGCAAACTCAAATACTCTATCAAGAACACCATGATTCCACTATATTTCCTAAGGCTAGTATAGCATTTCCATATCTTTCCTCACCATTTCTGATTATCATTCCAGTGGAAATTAAACACTACACTTTTAACTATTTTCTGTTGGAAGAATATGTTTAATTCAAATAGGTATTTTAAAAGTTTGTAAATGCTTTCGGAAATACATATTACTCTCGTTCACATCCTAGACTTTACGTCAACATAGTGAACCTAGGCAAGTTACTTATCACTCACATATACTAATCTTGTATAATCAATTCTTCAAATGTAATAATTGTAATAATACATTATCTTCATGTAATGTCAGAGGTCCTTCTCTATATTATAAAAGTTGGACATTTTTCCACTGTCTCAAAAATGATTCTTTGCCTGGATGCAGTAAAAATGTTCAACATGTGCTTAAAAGATAGCTGGTTGGTTGAACTATATGAAATTGCCATAATTTTGAAACAGTAATGGCAATTTCACATAGTTCAACATAATACAATGGCATTTTATTCATATTATTGAATGACCATAGGACTTAAATACAGTCTACATTATACCTTCTACCCTATATATTATTTTCCAATACTGTTGAAAAGTTGTGTCATTATCTAAATTGTATACCTTTTAGGTCTATGAAATGTCTGAACATTACATTGGTACCTGAATTTGAAATGTTTCTTTGTACCCTTAAATTTGAGGTTGACTTGATAGATTTTCAAGGAGAAGATAAGGAAAAGAAAAATGTAACAAATTCTTGATGTTCATTTATATCTTTGCTTAAACTCTTATTTTACCAGTTATACAATTTTTGTTAAGTTCATAAAGCAAATTTGACATAATACATATATACTGTCTCTAAATCTTCATTTCCTAGCTTTTACTTACCAGATCTAAATGTTCATATTCTCTCTCCTCTCCCCTACCCTTATCTCTATCTACGTCTCTTACAGTGATATTAGAAGAATTGGAGTCATACTCATTGGACACCAGAGACGAATAGTCAGCAGTATCCAAACTTTGCGTTTACACATGATGCACATACAAGAGAAAGGATTTCATGTATGAAAGTACTACAAGCACTTGTGTTTTGTGCCTCAGCATTTCTAAAGTGAAAGATATCCTCTCTACTACCCTCTCTTCTGATTCATCGAACATTTCACAAACTGCAGTCTCCTATTCAGACTATGGGCACATGCCTTTTGTTTATGCTTCCTGGATTTTAAAATCATGTCTCATAGCTCCTCTCTGAGTTACCTGCAAATGAAACCCTGGCCCACTGCAGATTACTACTACACAATGGTAAATAACTCAGCATGGATGTGTAACTTTGTACAACAATATTTGGGAAGGGTTCACAAACTTAACCTAAAGGAATTTGCCCAACTGTGGCTTCCTTAATGATGTAGAGTTTGATGGTATATGAAAAAGAAATAGTTGACCTTTTTTTCATGTTTTGTGATCAGGTAGCTTCCAAACTGACATAAATATGTTTTAGATAATTATATTCAACTGTATGGATCATATTGTTACTTTATTTTATAATAGTTTAACTGTTGATGCCTGATGTGGTTAGACTGATTTGCAGAAATCACCAATTATTTCATTTGGTGAATTCTTGTCAGATGTGATTGTGCTAAGGGGGTTATCAGGGAGGAACACTCTGCTTTTCAATCTTCTAAGGCTGAGTTTGTCTATTTTTTTTTTTAATTAACCTTGTAGTGTCCTACATATTTCACAGTAAGTGGTAGTTTAGAGGCTTTTCCCCTCTAATTTTTACTAACTATATTTCTCTTCTACCTTATGAAGCTCACCCCAGAAAGATCAAGAATGAGTCCAGCATTCTAAAAGCTTTCATAGAGGAAGCATGAAATAAAACCATATCTATTCCGTTGTTCACCTTCACAAGTTTGCAAAAGCAATTATCAAAGCATTGAGAAAATTACTTATTTTCACTGGAATTGCTTTGAATGAAAGATCCAAGCTTATAGCCTCAGATATAATGTAAAAAAAAGATTAATTAATCTAATCGAAACAGAATTTTATGATAGTTATATGGTGGCCCCCAAAATAAATACATTTGGCTGACTGTCTGATATTGGTGCATTTTGCAAGTTTAAGAACTTTTATATTTTGTTCCTGAAAAATAAGTTACATGAACATGCTGAGCTGTTTTCCAAACCTTTCAAGAGACAAGTATACCACTGCATGTTCCAAAGATATGAACATACCTAACACATGAGCATATATGAATTGTGTGTCAACCTGGGTCCATAACATGGTAACATAAAAATGTGAACACAGCTATAGTGTATTGTCATAATTTTCTCAGAGGCTGCAAAAAAAGGCAAAAATATTTTTCAGTGAATTAAGCTGACTCGATTTATCGAAATAGTGCTGCTTTATGAATAAATTTAATTGTAAAATCAGCTGTTGCCTGTGAAACTAAAAAAAAAAAAAAAACAAAAAAAAGGCTGCTATCCTAGGTGTGGAGAATGTGTGAAGAGAGAGGATAAAGGGCAGGTTATCTAAAGATGCTGATTTAATAAATCGGTTTTTCTTTAAGAGATAAAGGTGCCCAACCTGCATTCTCCAATTCCTACCTAAAGTATAGTTTTTGATAATAGCAGCTGTCTTGCTATTAAAGGAGACTCACTCTTTCTTTTATTCTTCTTTTAAGATTTGTTGATTGTCCCATTAGACTAGACCCTTCCACATACATTCTTTTGCTGCTTTATCTTCCAATTTTTGCCTACTGCAGCTTAATTTTTTCTCATTTCAAATAAAAATTGTATAGAGCTAGAAGGAAGAGTCTTTAAAGTATTCCTTAAAGTATATTAAAAAAGAAAAAAGTGAGAAATTCATCACTTTTTAAGTAAGTGTGTCAGAAATAGCAACATTTTCTAGCCATCACTTGCATGGTCATGCATCACTCATACACTATCTGCAGTTTGCTTGATACATTTACGCAAATCTGGATACATTTAGAGCAAATATAAAATTTCCGTATTTACTGTCTTCAAATATATATTAAATAAGAACAGATGTAAAACAGATTAAATTTATTAATCATATATATTTATTTTTATAATACAACAAAAAAAGTATTTAGAAAACTAAGGAATAGAATAATTATGGTCTTCCATAGGACTCTGTCAGCAACATCTGTATACTTTGATAAAATAAATTCTTTAAGCATTTAAACTTCTTTGAGATGGGCATTCAGTACTTACAAGATTAAAGTTCATTATTAAGAATTTGTTTCTTAATACAGCGATCTTTTTTTCTATATCTGATTTATATTTGTTTGTTCCCTAACATCTTCCTCTAGTATTATAAAACTGCCTTTTCACTTTGTGTCTTACCCCAAATGCTCTTTAAAATTTCTTTAAAATTACATTTATATTCTTCAGAACTGGAAGCATGATAATCTTATGTGTAATTTTGAACCTCATCATGGTCAGAAATGTGTGCACACATGATTGAAAAAGGTGTGCATGATTAAACAGAATCATTAAAAAAGTAAGGATATCTATTTCTTAAATGCCTACCAGTCCAGACCCCATGATCCCAAGGATATTATAATATCCAGGAATATTAACAATGAAATTGCCAAATTCATTTGGAAACTGTACAGGAAATATTTTGAGATTTACTAGTGTATATATCTAGTAATTAAAACTGTTTAATATGCATAAGTGTAGAATTTAATTACAGAAAGAAAATTAGTAATTTACATAAATCACAGCTTTCAGTAATGATTTTTGATAACTTCAATATGCATATACATTCATGTACTTGCTTTATTTAAACTTTCCTAATCCACATTACTGAGAAGCATTTGGGATTTTAAAAATCAGAGTTGAAGAAACCATTTACATTTTATTTTCTGGGTGGTCAGTTTCCAATTTTTAATCAACTCAGTAGCTCATAGTATAAGGCATATTTGGGGGGGGATGTAAAAACAATACACAATCAAGAAGAGAGGTTAAGTATGTAAATCATTTAAAAAGTAATCAAAAATTGCAAAGCTCCTGGCTTAACAAGAATCAAGAATTATAGCACTTTTGCACTCAGTTATCTTACTTGTTGATAAGAAAGTTATGCATGCCATAATAAAAAAGATTTGTTATTTCACTCTGCATTACTCTTTAAAATCTATCTACCTATCACCTGAATTAAACAGCCTTCTAGCTACAGTTCTAAGGCCTATGTCAGCCTGTGAAGGGAAAACAAATCCAAATTCAATCCTTGAAAAGCCAAGTCTTTGCAAAAGTTCTTCTGAAAAGATGGTAAAGAATATATCTCAACCACATTTCCTTAAGAATCCATTTTTTATATCTTTCCCTATCAAATTTCTACTTTACAAGTCAATTAGTTAAATCTCTTTCCCAAAATCTTCACCAATATTAGGTTTCTTTTTTCTATTCCTTCATTAAATTTTCTAAAACTTCCTTGTTTAGCCTGCTCTGTTCTCTCTATTCCTCCATCCCACGTCTTTTCCTTTCTCAGCTTCCACCACTCCATCCCTGGTCCCTATCAACAAAAAAAGCACAGAAAACCTAAAAAGATCTTACCACTGTCCTCAGAGAGGCTGAAGTTAAAGAGAAGAAGGGAATGTTGCAGAAGTATTTTGGATCTCACCACATAAATGGGAGCATTTGCGCTCATAGAGAGGGAATGAACTCCGGCTTTTTTATTAACTAGAAATTAAATGCTTTGGAAAATAATTCCAAAATGGATGATAATGATCTTTTTCTACAGCTTTAGATAAGGAAGTTTATTATTAAGTTAAAAATTTGTATTTTAGGAATCAAAAGCTGTTATCAATTCACAGTTGGTGTACATGTGCTTATATAACAAATAGATTAAAAGTAAATATATCACTTCTTTTAATATTATCACCTTAACTTCTCCAAGACTCCTATTACTTCATGTCTAATCCAAAAATATTTTGATGCTTTTTATATGAAGACTCTAAAAGGTAGGGGAGTACACTCTGAGTCAAATTGATGTTATTCTTCCATTAGGACAGTGGGCACTGAAGTCACCTAACTTTTGGTTCTTATGATCATATTTTCAACAACTTTCAGTCTGCATAATGTTCAGTAAAGGCAGTGTCAACTTACTTAGTTCATTCCAACAAATATCTATGAGGTGTCTCCTACACATGTAAGATTTTATGGCAAAGATGAGATTGGCTAAACTGTCTTAACTTCAAGGTAACTCTTAAGCTTAGAACTCAGAGGTTAGAGCCTATTTGCTATGTTTACTGTGATTGCCAAGTCATTAAGAGTCAGCTCTTCCCATAGGACAAAAATACATTAAATAAATTAATAAAGGCTTGTCCAGTATGAATTGGATTTGCAGTCCCTATGGAGAGAAATATTTTGGATCTCAAATTCTCATAGAACACTCCATGCTTCCTCTAGCAGAGGGGAGCATGCTTGCAGGATTCCCTGAAGACAGTCTCTCCTTAGGAGTCACAGATTGTTATTGTCCAATGGCAAACTTTTCAGTTTATGTGTAGACTTGCTACCTCAAAGGTGCCTCTGATTAGAAAACATTAGCCATTTTTCAAAACAACTCTGGAGTAATTCTCTCTGCCCAAGCGAATTCACTAGTTTTAGTAAATGTAATAAGTATGAACCTATAATAGTTACATAAAACTCTTTCAAATGTGATACATTTAACAAGGGATAGAGATGATCACTCATGCCTAGATCTAACATATTACTAGATGGAAATAAATGAGAGGAGAAATCCTAAGTTGTGGAGGCATAAATACTCCTCTTACTCTTACTGTTCCAGTATAAAACAAAATATTAGGCAGGTATTTCAAAGATTTCTTAGGATAAAAATAAATTATTTATGTTATAAGGGGATGTGACACTTCTGGGGAAAAAAGGGCAACGGATCCAGAAGATACAGGTCATCAAAATGTAACTTTAATCCTCTTTTTTCTGACTAGTAATTAGATTTGAATTTCACATTAATAATGGATTTCTATAAAGTGTATAAAAAATATGCTTACATCTTCATTGAAAGACATAGCTTCTTTGCTTTTA